ATGAGACATACTCTTATCACACATGTGGCTCCCTCTATTCAATTCTACCAAACTATCACTTCGAGTTTTGGTGGAAAATGGAAGCACCAGTTTTCAGTGGGGAGGAAGGTAAGTATCTATCAAAAATAGATTTTCAGTGTAGCAAAATTATAACTTCCAACAGGGCACATTATCTCTTATCACACATGTGGCTCCCTCTATTCAATTCTACCAAACTATCACTTCGAGTTTTGGCGGAAAATGGAAGCACCAGTTTTCATTGGGGAGGAAGGTAAGTATCTATCAAAAATAGATTTTCAGTGTAGCAAAATTATAACTTCCAACAGGGCACATTATCTCTTCTCACATTAGTAGCGAGAATCCCACATTGAATAGGTGGAGGGACTGGTGTGAGGAAAAAAAAAAGAAGCATCCTTCAAAAGAGTCTGAAGGACACTCCCTAAGATGAGACAGTCAGATTCTAAGATCTGATGAGGGGAACTGCACCACTTCTGAACAAGGTATACTGTTCACCCATCATACAAAAATATTGCATATATGGGCAGAAAACAGATGAACAGATCCAATTGAGAGAGAGAACTATGGCCGGAAAGTGATCTGAACCATGCAATATTTATGAAACTCAATCCCAGAAATTATAAAAGTTGGTCAAATGAAAAGGATGTGCCCGAGTGGCTAGGGCACAACGAACCGTACACAGCAAATCAACTACATACAGTAAGTCAACTATAATCCAAAACCCGGCTGCTGGGTACCGACATCCATGTAGGGACAGGAAAGAGGATCATACCACCTGCAAGTTGACTACAATCCAAAACCAGCCATCAGGAACCAACATCCATGTGGGGGTAGGAAAGATGATCATACCTATGGCAAATCAACTACAATCTAAAACTGAGCCATCTGGTGAGGGGAGGAAAGGGAATCATACCATCTTCACCTCAAATATATGACACTGGAGGGAATCTAGTACCCCCAACTCCTGAATGGGGCACACGTGTATATGATAAATTGATAGATCGATCCAGGAACCCAACATTTGGTATTGAAAAGATGTCTACATAAAGTAAACCATCTTCCTCAAAAGTGACATTTACCAGAACCACCCCAAGTGCATTAACATCCTCGGAATAAGAAACATCGAGGGATAGCAGAAGGAAAAATAACCATAACAATCCACAATTACCCACACCGTAATCAACAACACACGTGCAGGATAAATGAGGGATGAGTATAGACATCTGTAATACATATGTGAGGACTTGTGTTGATTGGTTCTATTCTAAATCCAAAACCCAACCACTGGGAACCAATATCCATGTGGGGATAAGATGAAGAATCCCAACTCAAGGGGTGAACTGCAATTTGGACATCTCACTTCCATTTGTTTCATATTGGAGGATGTCATGTCATCTATACAAGCAGAACACCACCGCCCTACTCTCAACTGAATGGTTTTATAATCATTTCTAGAATTTGTTTGTATTTCATTAACCCATTCAGGAGGATGCCTGCATGGTCCACCACCCCAGCAGCTTGGAACTGAAAAGTGGCAAGGACTCTCAAACTCCACTAGAAGAAAAGGGGGGTAAAATGCAGTGGAGAGTCCAGAGGAACAACAACACAAGACAGTGCAATGGGTGACCACCAAACCCTATTATTAAAAGCAGACCATACCAATTTATTCAAAACAAGGCATGGCAGGGATGAGCAGCTATCCTCTTCTGCCTCACCCATATAGTCCATGGGTGGGTACAGTCTGGGATGAGCAAACTTGTGAAGCAATTCTATCATGAGGATAAACCTACAAGCAATCTTGTGGAACACCCTATCTCTGCAGTGTGCATTGCATGGCCATGGAGAAAGAAGCTAATCAAATGAAGAGCCAAACCAAATTGGCAAAGGAGGAAGAAGAAAGAACATGAACAGAGGACGGTTGCCAAGGAAGAAAGAGGCAGGCACAGACACTGCAGAAGGAAGCCCTGCAGGCAATATAACAAAGAGCACGTACAGGACATAGAAGTCTATCCGGATCAGGACAAGGATAAAGGTGTAAAACGGAAGGAAGGGAAAGCAGCTAACAAAGGAGTTATCCTCATGAGCTGTTGAAGTTTGAGGGAGGAAAAATGATCTAGAGAAAGGAGAAGATATGTAGAAGGGTAGAGTACATGAAATATCAATGGCAAATAAATAGACCACCAACATCCAAATAGGCAAATAGGAGAAGGAAGGAAGACATAGGTGAAGGTGAAACAAGGAGCACTGGGAGAGTGGTTCAAATGTAGGCAAAGTGAGGCAGTGCAAGACCACATTAATATTTCCCATCCAGATGGGCAGCCCGCCATAGTGTAACACAAATCTGGAAGGAACACATCCACGGGTAAAGTGTAGGAAAGGAAAATACCTGTGGAATCGGCAAAAATGAAAGGTGTAGGACAGGATTGCCCGAAAATCCGAGACCAAGGAGACAGAAGACCCACGATCAAAAAGTCAAAATAGGAAATCAGCATGATGAAGAACTGTGGGTTGATCAGGGTAAATCCCTGGACCCAGAAACCAACAATAGAAGAATTCCATTTGAATTGAGAAACTTCCATGTAGGAAGTGCAAATGAAACAAGCCAGAAAAGAAGCTAACTGTCTAGAGAAGCCAGATCATCTCTCCAATGACCAGAGGAAAACCAGGCATGAAGATGGAGGATAGAAAGGTCTGGATGAAACACTGGTGACTGAGGGTGGTGAAGAAGAGCTGGAGAAGCCACAGAAACCACAGCTGAGATGGCCAGGAAAGAGCTATCAGAAGGACTGAACATAGTGTGTCAAGGATGAATGAAATCACCCATAGAAGAAAGAGAATGGGACATAGATGAAAGTGTAGGTCCAATCCTAGTTGAAAACGTCAATAGCGAGAACAAGAAGAGGAAGATCCGAAGACCAAAACCAAAGCAATTTGTGGTTAAGGGACATATCAAAAGTCTCAATGTAAGGAGTACCCCACTGAAGTCAAAACTACTGGAAAACAATAGGATTGAGAGACCAATCCTTCAGATATATGTTGTCTGGACAGGAATTCAATCCATGACAAGAGTAAAATCACCCAGAAAATGACATGCAATGATAAGAATATCAAGTGTATGAGCCCAAAAAGAAGATCCAACATATGAATACAGAGGGATGGAGAATGGTTGCTGTCTTGGTGATTGAGATAAGCAACCACTAAAGAAAAGTCAGAATGGATCATTATGAGATAATTTCTGGCCAGATGGAGAAAATGAACTAAAACACGACCTACAGCAAGAAGCTGTAAGACATTGATAGGATTAGGCCTCTCAGCTGCTGACCAAACACCCTGAATCTTCCAGTTGATCAACCCACACCAAATAGAAAATCAGATGAGGAGAAGGAAGCAGGATATCCCCCAATGTGTGAGTTATATCTAACCGCCAACGTTGATTGACAACACTGGTAGGAGGAAGGTAATAAAAGCTGACAAATGATCCCTGCAAAATTCCACTGGTCGTGAAATGCCCAGGAAAGTGCCCGCATATAAGTCTGACCTAAGAGGCTAAGGCTATCATGGAAAATTACATCCCCAAAAGCGACAGAACTTTGTGAGCTGTAATCTAACTGAAAACACATAGTACAAATTCAAAGAGGATAAGGCAGGCCCAACTGAGATGTGTGTAGAAAAAGAAAAATCACCCAAATGGATGAGATATTGGATAAGTCGCAGTAAGGACTACTCCAACTTGATTAACAGTCCAATATAGCCACCTCCAGGATAAGGGTTAAAGGACGGCCTCCTGTTCGGAACAAGCGAACAGTAGCCAATCGACCAAAGAAAGAGGAAAGTGTAACCCGAGAGCATATAAGTTACAAACGAATGCTCTGAATGCCCGACAAACCATACAGAGCCAAAGCAAGTCCGAAGGGCAGTGTGCAGAGAAACCAACCTATGGAGAATCAAGTGAAGAGATGGTCCCAAATGATGAAATATTGGGAGATTCAAATACACATTAGTGACATTCCTAAGGGTGAAAAACTAATCCTAGGTAAAATGGGGCTGATTGAAAATTAAAATGAGGCAGGACAAGCCTAGTACAGGCCACTAGTCTCCAGTTTGGCACAATGATGATAAAGAGCCTGGAGAAATATGATGAACAGGTGCAACAACCTGTAGAGACAGAAAACTTGTACTGTCTCAGACACATGCAGGCTGGTGGCAGGACCTGAGAAATAATGTAGAAAAATGCCATATTAGGCCTAGCATATTTTGCAGTAGGGGTAGGAGAAAACACAGCAAAATCTGGTGGTGTAAAAAGTCTATCAAATCTTCATCAGGTTCGCCTTGTTCAGGAGGATTAGTGGTTTATCCAAATAATGATCAATTTCACAATGGATAATAGCAGAGAAATCCAATGATGGATCTCTCCCACCTGTAGCCTGTGAAAATAGTGCTATTGGATAACACCCAAAGTGGGAACATGAGCCTCAGAATTTATTGTAGAAATATATAAATCAAACAAAAGTGTTTAATATAAAATATGTGAGTGTGAGAAGGAAAAAAAATAAAGACCGAAAAATTAAGTTAAATTAAAAGATTTCTTCAATGTAAAGAAAAAATAATAATGAAGAAATCCCACTTTGGCAATTAAGCTATTAAAATCACGATTCACTCGAAGAGCACCAATAGAAAAAAGTCTAAACACAAGTGCTGCCAAACGAGAAGTGAGAGTTTGGTAGAATTAAATAGGGGAAGCTACATATGTCATGAGAGATGCATTAGAATTAGTCTATTCCAATGGAGAGAGGTAGAAGGCTTGTGGCAAGTGTAAAAATGTTTTTTGCATATAGAGAGCAGCATTGAACCAGAATAGCTATTTATGTGAGTGGAGGTAATGTACCGTATCAAAAACTGAATTCAATGAGCTAAAACTGTACTGCAATAATAAACTCAATACCTAAAAACAGAGTATTTGGCAACTAGAACAGTTAACTCACTATTTGTTGAAATTCTTTGAATTCACAACCTTTCACTTCTTTACATCTGGATAACTCCTTTGACACCTCTCTAAAATGTTGACATCACTGTAACTCTTTTGACTTTACTATCTTCTTCACTTCTAGTTTACTGTAATATTTCTATAATAAGATGGGTGTTATATTTCCTTTAAAAAATATTTTAGCTTAATCTTGCTTTGGGCAAGAATGAGAACGCTGAGTTACAAAGGTTAAAAGTAGTAAAAAATATTAAGGCTAGAGAGACAGGTTCAGTTAGCATTCAGGTACCAGTCTGTAAGAGATTTAAACCTTTGGCTCTTTACAATGCAAAATGAATGCAGTGAGAGAGACTGATTAGCTATACTGATAGTTACTTTTAGTGGAGCACAGAGGAAGATAAGCACAAGAATTTGATTACCGGGTGCTAAAGCAAAGGATATTACAGTATGTGTTGACAGTACAGATTTAGATGCCAAGGATCACTTTGTTTTTGTATTTCATGAAGGAGCAAACAATGTTCGAAATTGGATATTAAAAAAACTGCTTAGAAGTTTAAAGAATTCTGTCAAATGTTTAGACATTTAACATTTTGAGATACTTCCTTAGAGCAGTGAAATGAATGAATTACTTGGCAGGATCCAAAGCTTAAATGAAAGATTATCAGGGACATATTTAGAGCAATAAATGAGCTTTTAGACCTATTGGATGGTTCTCATGATAAGAGTGAATTGTATGCTACAGCATGGCTCCATTTAAAGAAGTTAGGTAGTAGGATGTTTGGGTAAGCTTTAAGTATATTCATTAAAGATAAGTTAAACTGGCTTTGCATAGTAGAGAGGGAACAGAGAAAAAACAAACTGAAAATCTGTCAGATTTAAAGATAAACACAGAGGATTTGAGAATAATGTAAGGAGTATAACGAACAAAACAGATGAGTTCATAATTCTAGTTGATATAGAAACTATGGGTGTTACTACAAAGATATTTACACTATAGCATGCAGTCTACATAGATAGTATTATCATCACCATTTTAATAATTCACTAAAACATAATTTCTTGCTAAATAATTTATATCTATCTACATTTTTGTTCAACAAGTAATAATAATTTAATAAGCTGTGTATTCCAAAAGAGTACCTTAAATTTAGGTTATAATTGTGCTAGTTTTGATTGTTGGAATTTATTTCACTCTGATTATATTTACCCCAAAAATGTTATTTAATGGTATTTTGTACTTTATTAGTTTAAAAGCATTATTTATAATAAATGGCACCAACTGCAAATAAACAAACGTTAAAATGTTGATGATGATAGTATCAGTGTAGATCGCACACTATAGTGGAAATATCTTTGTAGGTCACATGCTATAGTAGAACTGAAACTATGTTATAGTATGAATTACTGAAACTTGTATAGACCTAAAGGGCATTATTCACAGGAATTATTTTGCAAGTCCAGGTTATAAGATATTTAATAGTGCTAGACTTTTCAAAAGATGGTACTGTATGGTTCTTTATATAAGGGATGAACAGATTCCATTAAGATTGAAAACACAGAAAATGGTAGTCAAGAGTTTAAATCTATGTGAATTACAATCAAGGGTTTGAATGGTTCAAAATGCTTAATTGTCAATTGCGTTAGGTCACCTTATCAGATATATGAGGTCAATGACAAATTATATAATAAGAGCAGATTTGTTACTCATAAGAATAATGTAAAAATTATGGATAACTTTAACCTTTAACATTGACTGAGACTTTATGGAGTCAAATAAGATAAAACTTAAGGACAACAAGGGAACTATTGATCCATCTAGGTTTCCCATCTACCAAACTAAGTTAACTCAAAGCCAGCACTTGTCATTCAAATACTCACGAAGACATCCCTTACACTCACTTAAATTTATTGCTTCTACTACATATGAAAGTAACCCATTCCAAAAACAAACTACTCTATTAGAAAAATAAAACTGTCTTCTCTGAAAATAACTTTTACTTTGCCAAAATTTATATTTGCATCCCTAGTCCTATCACTTCCACCATTAAGGATGAAAAAATTCCCTTCACAATCTTAAACATCTCAATCAGATCTCTTCAAACTTCAATGAAACAGTTTCGGAGATTTTAAACTGTCCTTGTATAACAATCTTTCCATCCCAAATTCCAACTAAATGCCTTCTCCCCTTATAACCACTAACAGAACCTCATTGCCATTATCTTTAATATCCTCAACTTGAACAGGATGTAACTAACATTTTACATATGAACCCACTCCTCCCCTTCTTTTAATACTCCATCCCTACTAAACAACCTATAACCCTCTATTTCAATGAAATTCTTGTCATCAAAATTGTCTACATTTAAACAGATTTCAGTTATGACTTTTGTACCTTGGTAACTCAAGGCCCACACACGGAATGTTTGAAAGGGGGATTCTGATTTGTGAGATCAAAAGCCAACACATATCATGAGAGGCACAGTCAGTACATAAAGCATGCTAGTGCTACAGGGGTCTGGGAGCATGTCACCCCCCCCCAAAAAAAAAGATTTGTCAAAAATAGGTGCTATGAGATTAAATCTGGAAGCAGTTTTGCAAAAAATATAGCTTAAACAATTGCATGACTGTTCAAATAAAATCCACAAACATCCAATGAAAAGTCAAGAAATCATCATTCTGTTATAAAACTGCATGGGTAGCTAAACTTAAATTATTAAAAATAAGTATGTTTTATTATAGTAAAGTACTGTACTATCTACATACAGAGTAATTATTAAATTATATCACTAATTTAAACAACTCTGTACAACAACAGCATATTGGCTATACTATAACTATACAAGATTTATTTTTCATATCACAAAAATGGGAAGTTCAGCCAAACCCCTCAAATCCCCCTCTCCTGTGTATGTGTGTGAACCTTTTTGCATCTCTAATAATTTCAAACTTAAAAGCTTATAACTATTGGCCTTAATGTCTAACTTTTCTGAACAATCATGATCACATGATCTCTCTCCTCTATATGACAAAACACTTATTCTTTTGCAAAACAAGTCCTTTTCAAGTTTCTGTTTTTTAAGAACATAATTAATACACACACACACATTCACCACTTTCTGACCACTTGCTAATTCTATTGATTCTTATAAATCATAAATCGAACAACAACGGAATTAATAAGGTAATGCAATAGCATTACCTCAGTTGACAGGAATGCCTATTTTTTGCACTTCTTAAAATAAAGGATTTAACATCTGATACAGACTACAATATCTCTTTCACTACATAAACCATAAACATGTCTGGGAAAGGCCACAGTTTACAATAAATTCTCAGAATGTCACACAGGGTGAACAATTATCAAATGGTAAATGGTAAACTTTGTGGAAAACATATCATAGTCCAGTTGTTAAATTTGCTAATGACATTTTGGAAATAATGAATATAAAGTATACTAGAATGATAACATATTTAAGAAATTTATGCAATATCTATGATGAGAAGGTTAACGTTTTTATTTTCAACTCTAAAAGGCAAGTAATTCAGTGTATAAAACTAAAAGAAGTTAAAAGTATCAACACCATGAGAAGTCCAAAGTTGAAAATGATAACTTTTATTATTACTATAGTAAATAACTAGTATAAGTTATGAACTTAAAACCCAAATCTAAATAAATAACTTTAACTTTAGACTCAGAAAAACCTAGTTTCCTACTCACCCCAGTCTGTGCAAGATATACGACTTATTAATTTTTGACAGTTTTGTGGACTAAAAGTTGAATCAGAAATTTATATACTTGAATTTGAAATACATGCATACTACAATTTAATTTATTACTCAACTCTACAAACTGATACCAGTCTATAAACATGAGAGACGCTATTATTGACTTTAACAGTTTAAGCTCACTGGATGATATACGCAAGAATTTGAGCCTAGTTTTTATAAATCTCACTCTTAGTCTTAGTTTCATAAGTAAATTTTTTTAGAAGTGATATTTCTAAATTTTCATAATTCAGAAGTACTCACAATTTTTCACCTAAATTTCCACATAACATACGAGATACTAATTACACACACAAAAAGAAAATAAATTGGCGCGTCTTTGAAATGTAAAGTTAGATGTCATAAACAAATATAAGACACTTAAGTCTATAAGATTAAGTTAAGTTAGTGAGCTAAGTTTGTCGTGAAAATGATAAGAAACCGATATTCGTAGGTGAACTGCATGAAGACTAAACGAGATATAATCGCTGAGTACTAAATTATTTTATATGATATTTTAGTTTTATTAATAGTTAAATCTATCAAAATTTTTACAAATACATCGTATTTGCATAAGTTCAGTTAAAACTTAACTAATAATTTGTGAACTGCCGTGGACTTTAGCGCTCATTTCAGTTAAAATATTAAGTAATTAAAAACAAAAAGTCCTTAAAAATACGTAAGATGACGGAATGCGGCAGGGTATTATAATGTCTACACATACTACGTGTTTTCTATTCTCTTACTTAACATAAAAAAATCGAAATTTTTGTACATACAGTGTATAAAGTTCCTTTTGCTCTAGTTTCCTATTACTCTGCGTTATTCACTTATGTTACCACGTGCACTCTCTCGTGGGAAGGCTTTCTGTAAAGTTGCATACTGTGTTGAATTTGAAACTTGGAATAGACAGCGATCTCTTCCACTGGCAGGTCAGTACTACCTTCCTTATTTTTCGATGAGAATAAGAAAATTAATAACAGTGACCTACGTACGTAACACACGTATCCTGAGAAGAATATCACTATTGTTTCTTGTTTATAATGGCGTTTCTCAATCTGGAACTGTCTTTCACAGATTTTTGGCAGGTATTGTTTTTACCTCACAGATATCTCTGAAAGCTCCACTAAAGGCTCCATCCTTTGTGAAAATATCCTTTGTATGAAATAAATATTGTTTTCACTATATTTAAAATTTTGTCCACTCTCTTTCTTTTCACACTCAGTCAGAGTCAGAAAATTAACATTTAAACCTTTGAAACACTTTCTATTAGAGCCTCCTGTTATTTATTAGATCCTACTGTTACGTATCTGCATGTTTGTTAATTTCCGGTAGAAA